AGTATAATTCCATCTAACTGTCCTTCTTTGTGCTATTTTAGTTATATCTTTTACTTCTGCTTATTACAAACTCTACCTTTTATTTTTGCTTTAGATCATTAGCTCTCTTTTAAAAAGATAAAGAGAAGAAAGCCTAATCTTTATCTAATTATTTACCATTCCCATTGTTCTTCATTTCCATGTGGTATCATTTCCTTTTGGCCTGATGGACATTGTTATTATATCATAGGGTACAGATCTTCTAGTAACAAATTATCTCAGCTACTGCTAGTCTGAATATGTCGCACTATTATTTTAAAAAACATTGTTGCTATATATTTAGATCTTTTCTCCCTCCTGCCAACATTTTAAAGATGTATTCCATATTCCTCTTGGTGCTGTTGTTTCTGATTAGAAGCCAGCTATCATTAATATCGTGGTTTCCCCACATGTGATGTGTCCTTTTTCTCTGGCTTCTTTAATTAATTTTTCTTGTTTTTGTTTTCCAATATTTGACTCTGATGTGCCCAAGTGTGATTTTCTTTTAAGTCTTCTTCTGTTATGGATTGACTAAACTCCTGTATTTAATTTAAGTAGATGTTTTTCATCAAATTTGGGAGAATTTCAGCCACTATATTCTCTGGTTTTTGTTGTGTGGTCTTTTTTTTTTTTTAACCCATTTTCATTTTCTTTTCCTTCTGGATCTCTAACTATATGTGTGTTAACCTATTATTTTTTCCAGGTTTCTGAGTATCTGCCTATTTTTCTGCAATTGTTTCCTTTTTCCTCTTTGTTCTTTGGTTTAAATACTTTCTATTGATACATCTGCATGTTTGCTGACCATTTTTCCTTCTACCTTCAATTACTATTAAACCCATCATGAGTTTTTAAGTTCAGTAACTGTACTTTTAAATTATAGAATTTCCATTTTTTTAATAATAATTTCTTTTTTTCCCCCCTGCCAACATTTTCTATCTCTTCACTCATTGGGACTATGTTTCTCTTTAAGTCTTTGAGCATATTATAAAAAGCTGCTTTAAAGTCTTTCCTAAATCTAACACCTGAGCCATCTTTGAATTACAAAATAACATTTATTCTGGAGTATGACCACATTTTTCTTGACTTTTGACCACATAGTTTTCTTGACTTGATTAATATTTTCCCATTTTTAAACATTAATAGTAATTTTTTAGTTTTATACTGGACATGGTAAATGATATGTTGTAGATATTCCAGATTCTCTTGTCTTCCTCCAAAGCTTATTGGCAGTTCAATATCTGGCTGATTACCTTGTACTTGCACAGATTTGTACTTTTTTATAAGGTGTATCCATCCATTTCTGTTGCTTATAACAGAAATACCTGGAACTGGGTGATTTATAAGCAAATGAAATTTATTGCTTACAGTTTCAGAAGTTGGAAAGTCCAAAGTCCAGGGAACACATCTGGTAAGGATCTTCTTTGGTGGTGGCTTTACAGCAATGCAGGGGTCTCACATGGCAGAAAATGGTGGAACAGAGAGAGAGAGAGAGACTCAGATTCTCACATGCTCTCTTTTTAAAACCCTTAGAACCATGCCTATGACCACTATTAAACCATCAATTTAATCACCTCTTCAAGGCCCTGCCTTTCAATTGCCATAATAGCATTTCCCACCCTCTTAATGGTCAAAGCAGGAAATCAAGTTTCAATGAAGTTGTGGGGTGGGGGGACATCCAATCTATAGCACAAGCATATTTCAAAAAGTTAATGGAAATTTGGTGTTGTCTTTTAATTCTATTTTTCCATAAAGTTTTTGAAGTGTACTTGTATTTGTTAAAGAATATTTGTGAAAATCTCTAGGTGTTTCCCAAACCCCTCTCAACACCCAAGTTCTGTCACTCCTGCAGGTCTTATTAAGACTTATACTTTGGTAGGGAAGCCCTAAAGAAGGCCTACTCTGGGCCATGGTCTTCACTTATAAGATGTGGCCTTTCTTGTGCCTCAGTTAGATGCCTGGGGTGTTAATGATGTGTCCCCATTCTGGCTGGGAGAGAACTCTGAAAATTCCCAGAATTGCCTTTGACCTCTAATATTTTCTGCTTCAAACCTAGTAGCAGCTACTCTCTTGCATGCTTTTTGAAGTCTTATTGCATATATACCCAGCCCAGTTTCAGCCAAGAACCAATGGGGAGCCTGACACAGATGTCTGGCTTTCAACTGCATACACTTCTTTGTCTGTGGAGCATTTCTTTGTAGGTCAAGCTGCATTGGCAGTCCTAAACTCTGATCTCTGCTTTCTCTGCTCAGTAGGACTGTTATCCACTGCATGGGCTCAGCTCCCTGCTGTGGTCAGGAAATTCTGCCCAGGTAGAGAGCCAAGGAAATCAAGAGTCCCACATCATGAATATCCTTTCTCTCAAGGATCACAATCTTGTACTGTGTTTTGTACAGTATTTTGTCCAGTTTTACAGTTGTTAAGGAGAGAGGCTAGTTCAGTACCATTTCCTTGTCATGGCTGGAAATAGAGGTTCCTATAGTTTAGATTTAGTAAACATCATAAAATATTAAAGAACCTCTACTATCCCAGCAGAGAGGATAGGAAGGGGAGAGAAAGAAGAAAAATAAAGTGAGTCATGGGTAGAGGTAGAAGGATAGAGAGAATGGGAAGAAATTAGATACATGTCCCATGCCCCTCAGTTTTCAAAACATTATGTAATATAATTTTAACAAATACTTAATGGGACCTGATATGTGCCAGGTAATGTAGTAAGTGCCATTTAATAATGGTTAATGAGGACTTATTCATATCCCAAGGCCTAGTAGGAGAAATACACTCAAATAAAAACAATTACAGAAATATGTTTGGGGCTCAAATTACTATTTGTGTAAAATTTTACTGAGCACAGAGAATTTAATTCCACTTGGTTGGGACTGATTTCACAGAAGAAATGATATTTGAACATGACCTTAAATGACAGGTAAGAGTTTTTCTGTTAAATAGTGTGTTGGAGAGGAGGAGAGCTTGTTAGGTAGAGCATTGCAGACAAATGAACAGTATGAGGATCACTTGAACATATCAGGGACTGTAGTTGACCTGAGAAAAGAGGGTTGGTGAGCAAGTAAAAATTTCAGTAGAGATTAACAAACTCCCACCAGGTGTGACAGAATAATCACTTGCATATGGGCAAGGTAAAGAGAAACTACTCATCATCACTGTTCAAAAATGTCATTAAATCAGGTTCCTCTATCTGACAACCTGGTTATCCATAGAATTCTCCTGCAAACAAATTCCAAGTTGCATTAGAAATATGCAGTACAATTGTATTTCCCCTCTGGGAGGAGAGTGAGTAAGCAAGGAGCATTATCTCCATCAGAACAAGTGACATGAACCAATAATTTGCTCTAAATAATTGATTTACTGGCTAAAGCTGTCTATGTGTGGGTCAATGAGTCTTTCAGTTCAATCAGTTCAAGGAGACTGGGTCATAGCTTTCATTTAATATCCGTTAGATCCATGAATTTTTACCTTAGTAATACTCAATACTGGGCCTGAAATATTTAACATACTACCTCTGCACCCCTCCCCCTTCTGTCTATCTGTCTCTCACCCTCCCTTCCTCCTTTATTCCCTCCCTCTCTCCCTTCCTCCCTTCCTTTCCTCTTGTGGAAATATTTTGGCAAACTATAGAGAAGTATACTTTTCCATACTTTTGGAGTTAAATATCATCTTTGGTGTTAAATATCACTGTGTATTCCTTCAATGAAATAAAACCTTGATTGCTTGCTATTTAAAATAGAGCAAAACCAAATATTTGGTGAATACCCATTACCCTGAGGGCTATTCATGAGTAGTAGAACCTATAACACTTTCCGTGTGTCTCTGTGCTCTCAGTAGCAGTGATTCTTCTTTTCTTTTCTGAGTATGACTATACAGCAGCAATTAGAGAAATAGCATACCTAAACATCCTCTTTTTTTTAATTCATGATAAAGTACAATAGTTTATTATCCCCCAAAACCTTTCAGTCATAGAGCTCTGTCTACTCCTGGACCTAGATTTAGATTATTACTGGATACAGTTGAATATTCATTAAAAATGCATGCAAACCATATTTCCTTTGTAAAATATCTCAGATTTGGAAGACGTTTGAGATTAAGTATGTTGGTTAGTAAATATAGCATCTGAAGGACTGAATAGGTAAAATTAAAATTATTAAAGTACAACAGTTGATATTTCTTTATGACATAAACTTGTCCGGGTTCTATGCTAAATGCTTTGTATGAATGATCTGCTTTATTCCTCATAATTTATGCCCTGCTTCTCTTACACTTGTCCATTTTGAAACCTAATGATGATTACTACGAATTATTCAGCACATATCATGAGCCAAGGCCTTCAATTACATTATCTCTAACTCTGACCCCTATACTCAAAAGTAGTAACCATCTTCATTTTAGACATGAGAGAACTAAGGCTCAGAGAGGTAGGATAAGTTGCCCAGGGTTGCATAGCTTCTCAGTTTGAGAAAGGCTTTGATGCTCAAGATCACTCTGATCCCTGAGCCTGGTCTCCTATTCTTCACGCCATGGCTGAGGTCCCTGCTTTGTCATGTCTCACAAATACATGCTTTGGTAAAAAGCAAACAAGTGACGTGAAGGGATAACTTAAAAGAATCTTACAAAAAGTACAGAATCAGTTATTTCTAAGCCTCTTCTATCATTTCTGTAATTGAGCCTACTTTTTAATGTTTATGGTAATTTGCACGGATTTGAAAAATTATAACACTTCCAAGATCTAAAAAGTTGTTCACTCAAGATATTTGTAACAATTTCCACTAAGTAGCTTAGGCTGACTGTTAATTGTTTTGCTTTTGAGATTTCAAAAACTTTGTTTCAAAATGTAATCGTTCTTTGAACATTGTAGAATGGCCTATTGAAAATCAAGTACATTGGACAAATTTATGAAGTGTATATTATTGAATGTATTATACTGTAACATAATATTTTCTATTTTCTGTCTTTTGGTCTGTTTCCTTTCATAGCATGCTTCGAAGACTACACGGATGAATCTGGGACATTCACTTCTCCAAACTTTCCCAATAATTACCCCGACAACTATGAGTGCATTTATAGGATCACAGTGGAAACCAGCCAGCAGATTGCACTGCATTTCACAAACTTCTCCTTGGAGGAAGCCATTAGTGGAAACTGTTTAGCAGATTTTGTGGAAATCAAGTAAGTACCTTTATTTATTTCCTTATAACCTTTTTCATTATTTACTTCCACTAATAAACTTTCCTGGAAAGATTAAGAAAAAAATATGAAAATTCTCTGCAGAACTCCCCAATGTGCATTTTCTTGCAAGATAGTTTGCCATTTAAAGCCTGTCTTAGAAGAAATGCAGAAAATTGCATAAAATTCAGTGGTTACTTTGAAGTTATTCTTTCATTGGGAATATTTGAAAATGAACTCCAGATTTCATTTGGGCAAAGAAACAGTTGTACTACTAGTATGAAATGAGATACTTGCTATTGCTGAATACCGACTTTCTTTATGCAAAATCATTTCAAATTTTAGGCTGTTCGCTGCCCATTTGATCTAATTATGTCACAAAAAATGATGACAGGATATCAATCTTATCCTAAAATTTGCACAGTTTTTTGTATTCAAATAATAAAAGTCAAGCCTTGTGAATTTCTGTGTAAGCCATTTTTCTTTCATTACTTGGCACTTTGAAAGTTTAAAAAGTTGTATTTCCAGTAAAGGTAAGTTAACTAATATGTCGATATCTCCCTATAGCGTTACATTGAGTTAAATTAGGTTAATCATGTTGGCGCGCATCTGTTTCAAATAATATATTCGATATTTAAAATCTGGAATCATAATATTTTATAAAAAATTTTATTACATGATGTAAGGTAAGGTGCCAAAATAATAAATTGCAATTGTACCACATGCTAAAATGACATAATTTTCTTAATTTACAGCAATTAATCACTGGACTTTAATGTTGAATGAATCCTTTTTTTTTTTTTTGGATTGAAAAAGCTACATATTGTAAAGTAGATTTAAGATCTCACAAAAGTTCTTAGGGAAAGAGTTATTTCCAGAATTTTGCTAAATATATCAAATACGTATTTTAAAATTTCCAGATTAAAAGGAGAACATTTAAGTTTTCTCTGTACAATTAAGCATCATTTGTTTATACTGTTAATAATTACGGTTTCTTTGTCCTGCGTTCTATTTGAGAGGGTTACATTCTCTCACTCTGCTGTTGGTTTTATAAAATGCCATGCCAGCCCTAAATGATATTTTTTATTAATTTATTCAAATGCTATTTAATAAAGCATAAAACTTGAAAACTTGAAATTGTGTTTTTCAGAGTATTTTTGAGACACAGTGACTGATTTGGTAAAATGCTATGTTTGAAATCCCTAAAACCAAGTTATTTTTCTATTATCAATAGCCCAATATATTTTCACTTCTGTATTCTGTCACAGAGATGGAGGTTATGAAAAATCACCTACTCTGGGGATATACTGTGGCTCAAATCTACCTCCAAGCATCATCTCTCACAGTAACAAACTATGGTTAAGATTTAAGAGTGACATAATTGACTCAAGTTCTGGATTCTCAGCTTACTGGGATGGGTCATCTACAGGTAAGTAGCAAAGAGCTGTCTTTTATTGGAGAATCCTATCTGACTGATTTCTCGATGCTTGGATGGTCGTGCTCTGTCCAGCATCAATTGTCCGTTTTTTTGGTTTTTTTGTTTGTTTGTTTGTTTTTTCCCAGATGGGTTTTATAACCCATCTCTTTGAAATAAACTGTAACATTGCAAATATTTTTGAATTAATAGCAGCCACTTTTTTTGAAGGACAAAGGGAAAAAGTTCTAGTTCTCTGGTATATTTCATTAAGCTGGCCATCTTGGTTAGAAAAAGGAAAGTACATTATGTGAAATGGAATTATAGGCTGGCTGCTCTTTTGTGATGCAGTTTTGCTTTGCAACTTGATTTAAAGGCGAGCACAGTAACACCAGTTTGATATAGACAAGGAGATGGGAAAGGGACGTTTGTCATTCCATTTCTTTCTCTCATAGGTTGCGGGGGCAATCTCACCACTTCCAGAGGTGTATTCATATCTCCCAACTACCCGATGCCTTACTACCACAGCTCTGAGTGTTACTGGTGGTTGAAGTCCAGCCATGGCAGCGTGTTTGAGCTGCAATTCCATGACTTCCACTTGGAGTATCATCCAAACTGCACTTTAGATTATCTGGCTGTACGTGTAATGTTTCAGTTGTTCATTTACTGCTCCCATCTCACCCAACACACATAATGAATTTACTTTTATTTTGAAGATTCAGGAAAGGGGAGAATTTAAACAGAACATGCACATAAAAACATTTAAGCAAGATAAAAACATAAAAGAAATTTGGTGGAAATGACAATCTTCTAAGTACAGTGTGTATTATTGAATGGCTTGATATACTAAGTATTTAAAATATATTGAATATGGGCCGGCCCAGTGGTGCACTGCTACAGTGCGCCGCTTGGGAGCGTGGTGGCACTCCCGCCAAGGGTTCGGATGCCACATACAGACTGGTTCCCGCTCACTGGCTGAGCGAGGTGTGGGCGCAACACCGAGGGTTGCGATCCCATTGCCGGTCCTGGTCCGGTACGGGCGCGACACTGAGGGTTGCGATCCGTTGCCAGACACGAAAAAAGACAAAAAGGAAAAAAAATATATATATATATTGAATATGGACTTTTAAGATGGCTAAAATCTCCTGAAAGGGGTAATGGGACTTATTATAATCTTTGTTTATGTAATTTCTACATATGCACTGAAAAATAACAATATAGTGGATTATTTTGGTGATTTAGAGAAGATAATTTGAATTATCCAACTGAGACTTTTTATAGTACCAGCAATTTCACCATTGCTCATTTAAAAAATCTAAATAGCAATGTATTAAAGTGTCATACATTTTAAGCCATGGAATCAAAAAGCAAGGAGGACAATTGATATCAGCTATAGTCTCAAAAATACATATTAGATTTTCATTTTCAATCTTCAGATTCAATCTAGATTTACACACTTACTGCTGTACAATAACATATCGATGGCTAAATGGCCCAAGTCTGTAGACACTTAAATAAAATTTTTAAAGGTATTTTATTTCAGGGCTACTCTTTTGTTATATCACATACGCATTTCTTCCCCACTTCTTCTGGATTACAGAGTCTTTTAGATAATGTTTATAGCTACAACCATCTGATATTTGCAATGTTTTGTTAAAGGTATATGATGGCCCAAGTACCCACTCTCGTCTGCTAACTCAGCTGTGTGGAGATGAGACCCCACCTCTTATCCGTTCTAGTGGAGACAGCATGTACTTAAAACTAAGGACAGATGAAGGTCAGCAAGGACGTGGCTTCGAGGCAGAATACTGGCAGAGTAAGTGTGTACACCAGCTGCTCAATGCCTACAGTGAGCCTTCAGACTCTAGAGGAAACAACCTGAAATGATTATAACCTGTTGGTGTGATCAATTGAAATTAATCTTAGTTTCTTATGTGAAAAGTTTAACTCCATTTGAGGTAAAATTGCTTATGTGTTAAATTTAATCTTATGTAACTAAAGCATCTGGCAAACTATAGAATCTTAGAAAAGTATTTAATATGCCCAGAGAGTTGAAATTCAGCTAAAGATCAGTGGAACAGCTTAATGGCTAATAGTTTTTTATTTGTATTATGCACTACAGTTTCCTAATTAGACATTACGCCATGGTACACAGTATTCTCTCACACTCGTTTTTGTTCTCTACCGTACAAGTTACCTTAATTTCGTTACAGGAAACTGTGGTCCCTGTGAATCATACATGGAGTAAGCATGTCTTTTATTGTGGGAAAATCTGGTCATTGTAGAGAAGCCATTTTTAAATTTGCTTTTCCCATAGACAACATGGTGAAATTAAAGGAGCACTGAATAAAATGTCAAGGGGCCTGGAGTTTGTCAGGAGTCATAGCTCTTGAGAAAGTCACTTTTCTTCTCTGGGCTTACACGGTTCCTTCTCTAAAAAGAAAAGATTAAATTAGATGATCTCTAAAGCTTCATTCTAGCTCTAGAATTAAATGCTTTTCAAAGTTAGCTTCAAAATGGACATTGAAAAAAAATAGTTCCTTGAATTTATGTTATTTAATAAGTATCTGTGTTTTTGGAAGTATAATTCCTTGCTTCACTAAAACCTAATGTACCCTTAATTTTACATAATTATCTAAAAATGCAATTGAAAGTCACAAAACATAATCTAAATATACAATATCCTTTGGATTGATTGAAATAGTGCTAATGTTTAAACTTGCTTATGTGTGAATCTGAAGATTCATATTCATTTACATCTGGGAATTAGGCTGAATTCTAGATAGTTTTGAATGCTGAGTTTTAATGTGTAGCTTTGGTTCTTCAGAAATTCATCACTAGTATATGGAAAGCTTTCGCAGTTTCTATCAGGGATATATATATTTGAGCATATGATCATTTCTCTAATTTTATTATTTTTGTGCTAATGTGTTTCTTGGTTACAATCAGATTACTTATTAAGGGCCCGCCTCTTTTTCTTTTTATTCCTGTGATATATTATTTTTCTCTCATAATTTTGGAACACTGAAGGAGTAAATTAGTGTACATAGGATACTTAGTGATCCTTAAGGTAAAATCAGAGCAAACCAGTGAGATTTTCTGTAAAATTTGCCATTTGAAATTGGAGGTTTGCAGATAGTGTAATTTTTGAGCATATGTTTTACTAGAATATATTTTCCTCTGTCCTGTCTTGCCACTAGTCTTTGAGGTCCATGATCCCTGTCTGTCTAGCAGGTATAACTTCTCACAAAGCATCTAAAACAACAAAATTATTCTTTAGAAATCCATTGTGGACAAAACTGTGATCTAAAAATTTTCAAAGAGAAATGGTTTGAGTATTCCCCCTGCTTCAGCAAAGGAAGATTTTGAAGAGCCATAAACATGTCCTTTTCAAAACCAAAGTTTATAAGTGGTGTTCCAGCCATCTCCCAGAAAGCAGTCATTGTAATAGACATGTATCGGTGAACCACATTTTTCAGAGACAATTCTTTCAATAGAAAGTTTATTTCTTCATCTGTGGCAGTCTGTTTGTGTTGCTTATGACAAAATACACGGAACTGGGAAATTTATAAAGAAAAAGAAATTTATTGCTTATAGTTGGGAAGTCCGAAGCGTATCTGGTGGTGGTGACAGTGATCCAGCAGTCTCACACTGCAAGATCGTGGAAGCAGAGAGACACACAGCCTCTCCTCTTCTTTTACAGCCCTCAGAACCACGCCCCTGACCACCATTTTTAATCCATTCAGTACCAACAGTAACATTTATTCAACTCTCTGTATGCAATGCTATGCAATAAAAGTTGCTTGAATATTAGGCAACCTAGAATATGAGGTAATCTGCTACTTTTACAGTAAGAAAGAAATTTTATTTAAAAGAACTTTTTTGATAAGTTGCATATGCATATGTGTTTTAGGGCTATCAATTGAAAAGCTAGGTAGCTACTTATTTACTTTATTAATGTAATTATGCATTCATACATAAAATTATATATACACACTAATTTAGATATATAGATTTCCACTTTCACACTCATAAAAAATTTTTGTTCAAACTATTTACATCATTTTGACATCGATTTTTCATCATTAATGAAATCACTTTTTGAGTCACCTAACACACCATCTCTATTTCTGTCTCTATTGTTAATAAGTAATAGTATTTGTGGATTCAACCTGATAACCTTAGGACATTTTTTCCACCTTTCCCACCTATCCACACACAATGACTTAATGTAGTTCTTTTTAGAAGATTTGTTTGTAAGACTTCCAATATCCAATACTTGCTCGTCTGAGGTCATATTCTCAGGAAAAAAAATACTTCATCACTATAAAATTTTCTTAATGCTCTTTTTACCAATTCTATAAAAAAAACTAGCATTGATTGAGGTTTGAGGTTAGCATACCTTTTCCAAATAGCACTTTTGTTTATAAGAATAAAGAAGAGAGGCATCTTGCACTTTGAGAGACTCTGTGAGGTCCCGAATATAAGGAGATTCCCTTGTGTTCCAGGGATCATTTTTTGAGTAAAAAGAAATCTTGCTTTATATTTAGAAAAGTACAACATTATGGAAATAGTAGCCATAGTGTTTACCCATTAGAAAGTTATGACAGTTCTCAGAAAAAAACCTTAAGGAACAAAATTTAAAGGCATTCCACTCCAGCAAATGACAATGGGAATAGATGAGAGCAGTATATATTTCCCTGTAGAAAGAAGAGTCTAGCCATGTTGTTAACATGTGTGCCCTAGAACACACCTGATTTTTGTCAAAATCACTAAGGCATGACTAAAGTAACCACAAAAAAAAAAGCAAAAAAAAAAAAAGAAAGAAAGTTATATTTATTAGTATTCTAAGAAAGTATGACACAACATAAAACAAACTTTCAAATATGAGCTTGGCAATGGTTTAAAGTCCACCTTTCTTGATCTAGAGTTCAAATGGTCTTCACAAGCTTAATAATGGTGTGCTCTTCTTGTTCCATTTGCCTAGAGTAGCCATCCTTTTCTTCACATGGAGCGATCTTGTTCATGTTTTAGAAAAAAACAGAGAAGTTGCTTTTGAAGTCCTTTATTCATACCATGAACACAGCAGTTGATCATATCTGTTTTTAGCAGTTGTGATTGTCCTACTGGACTGTGGGCTTCTTGAAGGTGTGAACTGTCTCCTACTAACTTGGTAATTTAGGTGCATATACAGTTGGGACATTACAGGAGTCCAATAAGTTCCGGTTAAATTGAATATCACAGCCATATTTTAGCATCAGCCTAATAATAGCTATTAATTAGTGAGAAAGAATTGAAATTTGAAACTGGCCTTTTTGTATAATCCCTACACATTCTGTGCAATACTACAACTTTGAGCACAAACCAAAACAATTTATGACCTTGAAGAGCATTGTATATAAAATAATAAGCAAGGCACCAGAATCATGATTTGATAAAGTACATGGAAAAAACTACAAAGAGGAGGAAGCTTTTGAACTGGACGTTAGTGGAGGCCTTGGCAGAAAGAGTGGGGAGGAAAGGAGAGGAAATATTTCCAGGAACTGGGCTCCACTTCTTGGACTCACTTGAGGATGGATTGGTAACAAAAGAGCCCATCAGATAATTTTTTGAGGTGTTTAAAAAATGCAGATAAAAAAATACTTGTTCCAACAACTGAGAGCAGCTAATTAAAGGCCCCTGGTAGATGATGTGCCCATCAGATAATTTTTTGAGGTGTTTAAAAAATGCAGATAAAAAAATACTTGTTCCAACAATTGAAATCAGCTAATTAAAGGCCCCTGGTAGATGATGTTTCTGTCATGTTACGGGCATGCCATTTATCTTGTGCAACGTTGATGGTGAAAACAGCAAAAATACAGAATGAGAACCAGAAGTTCAGAAAAGCCTTCCAAAGAATAACACTGTTGCCATAGGGAGGAGGTTTTTTCCATCTTTGTAAGCCAAGGGGCAAGACCAGAGCAATAGCTACCAGGGCTGATCTGTGATGGAAATTTTAAAAGCACAAATAACTACTTAGGCAGAGAAAAGTCACAAACATAAAAACCTAGCTTCCATTATAACTTCTAGTTAAAGTGTTTTTTCAAGTAACTTAGCCAGGTTCCAACTGAGTGACTAGTACAAGAGCCAGAATTTAGTTATTTTAAATTAATAAAACTGAAAGTATAAAAGGACTTGATTAAGTGCTGGTCAGACACTGTGCCCAGCCTTGTTCAGAGGTATGGGTTGGTCATGATCCCGCGGGGAAGCAAATCCATCCTTTATTGTTTTGTCCTCTGGGCAAAACAAAATGCATCAGATTTGGAAATAACATATTTAGTGGGAGGAACGGTCATTTGCTTAAAGGAATAAGACCATATTGTCCATGCGAATGTGGGAAATCAGTCTGTATTTTACAATGTAATTTTACTTTTTCATTTTTATTTTGAATCTGAGGAGATTTTTAATAGGTGATTGAGTATACAAATTGAAGTGATGGATTTGGGGGAATGAGCACAGAGATGTATAGGAAGCCCAGGGCTTGTATTAAGTCAATTTCCTCTTTTTTATTTATTTTTTATATTTTTGGCAGCTGGCCGGTACAGGCACAGACACAGGCATCTGACCCCATGACCTTGGTGCTACAAAGCTGTGCTCTAAGCAACTGCTCTCTAACCAGCCAGCCCCAGTGTTAAGTCAACAGGGAGTATGTGTGTAGTGAGGAGGACCACCAAGAGATACTTCGTCATAGAGGCTAAGAAAAGGGACTATACTAGAAGAAGATGGTAATCAATATGGTGAAATACTCACAGGAGGTCAAGAGAGGTCAGGGCTAAG